CTCTCCTCAGAGGCCATGCATAGCAGTGGCAGTGTCGTGCATGCCTCTTTGGTAGCCTCACAGGTCGCGCATGGCGATGGAAGTTCAACTCACGCGTCTCTTTCCCCCTTTGTTCTATCTCTTTCACGAGACCTACAGACGACGCTGCTCATCGCTGTCTGCAAATATATCCTAAGCGCCTCAGCGAAGGACACTGGTACCAAAGCCTATCACCACCGGCAGGGGCTTCACCCTGTCGCGTGACTGCTGCGGACGACAATAATTATCCCCGTCCGCAAAGTGTCAAGGCAATATTTGTCACCGCGCATTGGCTTCTTCTACGCTTCCCTGCGCCCATCACCGTACACCCTACGAGAAGCAAATGTCGTGAGACCTATGAGAAGTTATCATTGGGCACCTCGTTAGGAGCCATCACTTTTCACTACGGAAATGTCCACTCATCGTGCTGTTAACGACGATGCCCATTACCATCGATCTCTCTTCTCTTCATCCTCTTCTCTTCTAACTTGACTGAGGGTAGATCTAGCTTAGCACCGCCATCTCGGTGTCAATTTGAGTAGCATTGCCACCATGCTGGTCCTGAGGACCATGCCCGTCTTGCTACCAGTACGAGTCGATAATTGTCTGAATGTCATGCTAGCTTCACCTCTGTATTGAGTTTTTCTTCTCTTTTCTATCTTTATCTAAAACTTTATATTTCATATTGCTCTCACGTGAACGTGCGTTGCCCTAAGACAAGGGTGGGTCTCCTTGACCCACTTGTCGTACACATTAACTATAGAAGTGTTGTGCAGAAAACAAGAAGATTGTTGGTCAAGGGAGGCGATTCCAAACCATGTAAAGCAGCTGGGGGGATTTCTTCGTGATTTAAGAGAGTGCCCATGCGAACCAGCCCGAGTAAGTCCTGAACCCACCTAAAATTCCTCTCTCATCAGTTGGTATATTTGCTCTTGCTCTCGGGCAAGGTTTTGAGAGAGTGATCTCAAACCCCGGGTTCACCAGAAACATGAGGTACGTGCCACCAGATCATCTAGATCTAGAAGGCGAGATTGAGGCACCTAACCACTAAGATGTATCAAGACCTGAAGAAAGCTTTTTGGTGGAATGACATGAAAACGGAAGTTGCACTGTTTGTTTCTAAGTGCTTGAAATGCCAGCAAATGAAAGATGAGCATCATAAACCCGTTGGGTTGTTGCAAGCCTTACCCGTATTGGAATAGAAACGGGAGCACATTGCTATGAAATTTTTCTCTGGTTTTCCTTGAACGAGTTCCCAGCATGATAGCATTTGGGTCGTTGTGGACCGGCTGACCAAAGCTGCCCACTTCTTACCGATCCGGACAACCCACACCTTTGATAAACTGGCCCAGTTATACATCAAGGAGATAGTGAGGTTGCATGTAATACCAGTGAACATCATGTCCGATAGGGACACTAGATTTACCTCTAGATTTTGGGCTTGTCTGCTGTTAGTCTTGGGGACGAGACTTACTTTTAGCATTGCCTTTCACCCCCAGACTGATGGGTAATTAGAGAGAACCATTCATACTTTGGAAGATATGTTAAGGGCTTGTGTCATTGATTTTAAGGGAAGCTGAGATGATCAGCTACCCCTGATTGAATTCGCCTATAACAATAACTTCCAAGATAGTACTTAGATGGCGCCTTTTGAGGCCCTATATGGAAGAAAATGCAGGTCACCCATTTGTTGGGACAAGTTTGGTAAAATAAGGCTTTTAGGGCTCGAAATTGTCCAAGTGACCTCAGAAAAGATTGCTTTGAATCAGGAGTGGTTTAAGAAACCTCAGAGTAGGCAGAAGAGTTAAATCGATAACCGAAGAAGAGGCCTCGAGTTTGAGGTGGGTGATGGGGTTTCTTGAAGGTGTCGTCAACTAAGGGCATTATGAGATTCGGTAAGAAAGGGAAGTTAAGCCCGCATTATATTGGACCTTTTGAGATTTTGGGAAGAGTTGGAGGAGTGGCATATCGACTTGCCCTACCACTAGAATTGGTGAACATCCATGATGTCCTTCATGTATCTCTGTTAAGGAAGTACTAGCATGACCCGTCCCATGTTCTGAGTTATGAACCAGTTTCGATCAGAGAATACCTGACGTTCATCGAGCTGTCAATTGAGATACTGGATAGAAGGGTACAGGTATTGTGTAATAAGGAGATCCCTTTGGTTCATATTTTGTGGCTGTACCATTCACAGGAAGAGTCGACATAGGAATGAGAAGCTGAGATCCGAGATAAGTACCCCTATTTGTTTGTTTAGCAGAGGTATGATTTTGGGAAAAAAATCCTTTTAAGAAGGGGGGGGGGAGGGGGGAGGATGACGTAAGGATCTAGACGTTTTGGCATTCGGTAGTGCGTCGGCGAGTCGTTGGCACGGGTGATCTGGGACGCAGATGCTGTCGAGCATGCGATGCTACCGACCATATGATGCTACCGAGCATAGAAGCCGCCCATCATGACACTATTGAGCATGCTGCCGCGCATAGAAGCCACCGAGCGCGATGCTCCCAAGTGCTCGGCAGTCCAGGGGAACTTTTTCTCTCTCATGATTGCTTGCATGCTTCTTGGACACCATGTGGCACTTGCATGTCTCTTGTGTGCCAAATATCAGTTGCATGCTACCGCCCCCCTTTTTTTCTTATTTAAACCCCAACTTCACACCCCTCCATGGGGTTTAGCTCTCTCTCACTCACGTCCGCCCATTTAGCCTTAAGAAGCTTAGCATTTTTTGAAAGGGAAACCTATGTAGGCATTTTGGAGTTCACTTAGTGTAGTAAGTAGATCTATGCATGTTTAATTAGTTCATCAAGTGTGAAATTCATGCATGAATATGAATTTGATTGTGAATATGGGTGTGGATATATGCTATTGAAATCTTGCCAAAATATGCCCTGTTTTTCAAAACTATGACTCCTATTTATGTCATCGATTGAGTATCAAAAACATCTTTGTTGATCGTCAACTTTTGTCAGAAAGTACCTCTTTGAATCTATTTTAAGATGGAAAAGACCTCCTGTTAATACCTCTTTTGGTTTGAAAGTTATTAGGCATTTTCTGAAGTATGTCATAATTGTGAAATGAATTTCCAAGACTGTTAGGTGTTTTTGTTTGGAACTGTTCACTGACCAAAATGTATCAGAATGAAGTCATATCACTTCTTAAAGGAAGATAATGAGTCTATTCTAAAAACCGATTGAAACCATGTTAAAATTTCTATGGATTGGAAGTTATGGCCATATTTATATGAGAATGTCGCACTGGAAAATTTTGTTGTAAAGTTAGGAATTTTCCAGAACTATGAATCCCATTTATGTGATCAATTGAGCATCAAGAACATCTATGTTGATCACGAAATTTTTTGAGAAAGTATCCCTTTGAATCTATGTTAAGATAAAAAAGACCTTATATTAATACCTCGTTTGGTTTGAAAGTTATTAGGAATTTTTTGAAGTATGTCATAACTGTGAAATGAATTTCAAAAACTATTCGGTGTTTTTGTTTGGAACTTTTCACTGATTAGAATGTATCAGAATGAGGTCAAATCACTTTCAAAAGAAAGATAAATGAGTCTACTTTAAAAAAAGTTTCAGAATGATGATAAAAGTTTCGGTAATTATAAATTTATGTCCATCATTCTATGAGAATGTCACACTAAAATTCCTGCTATAAAAACATGAACTATGCTCCAAGACTGTCAAGCAGTTTAATGAGCTTTAATCCAAAACTTGGAGCATGAAAATTGTATTTCATGAGCCGCGATTAAGATGAAAGTGGTCCTGGGTCTAAATGACTTCTGAATCTTATGTTATGCCCTTAAAGGTGGACTACATTCGCTGTGGAACACCAGAAAATAACCTAGTGATATCCTTTGAGTTAATGAGCTTAATGATATGCTTGCCAGAGTTATGCTCGATTGTGATATGTTCTGTTATGATAATTTTATTTTCTGTTATGAAATGAAAGTATGCTCTGTCATGAAATAAAAGTATGTTTTGTTATGAAATGAAAGAAAGTATGCTCTGTTATGAAATGAAGGTATGCTATGAATACATATAATAAGACACACTCAGTTGTGATATGAATGCATGATATTGAGATATGCTCAGTTATGATATGGATGCATGTAATAAGACATGCTTAGTTATGATATGGATGCATGTAGTAAGACATGTTCAGTTATGATATGGATGCATATAGTCAGACATGTTCTGTTATGATATGATATGCTCATACTCTAAGATGATATGGTAAGAAATGTGTGAATAACTATGCAATGGGTCATCCATTGGTAGTGTAATAAGATATGATAAGAAAGTTTTGCCGACAGTTGAGATCTTTCCCTGACTCCCAATAATAGGAAGGGAGTTAAGATGTGAGTCACATGGGAGGGTCGTGGCCTCCAATATGTGTGTATGGCACTACGCAATGGGTCATCCATTGGTGGTGTAATGCCCTCCAGCTAGAGAACAAATGAGGGTCATGTTTTGCAAGGCCACCGCCTATCAAAAGCCCCAAAACACGTTGGGGACTGTGTGTGTGTGTGTGTGTATGAAGGCATTATGAAATAGGTCATCCATTTGTCACCGTTTTCCCCACCTAAGTGATGGTAAAAGTATTAAGCAATGGGATTGGCTTTTCTTGATGGAAAGGGCTTCTACTTTAGGAGTAAGGAAACTAGGGAGTGAGTTAGTTAACAATGCTTGTTACTTGCTTAAATACGTCGATCGACTAAGACTTGTATGGTTGAATGACTAAATTGAGCTCTGCTCATATCATATATGATTGATCTGATTTTCCATTGCTTTACTATGAATTTTTCACTACACACTGGTAGAGATGATTTTTATACATCGTTCATATTTTATAAGAATTGCATATCACCCTGAGTATTGTTATGAGAGAATGTTCATAGGAATGAAGGCATGGAAACTTGATCTATTTACTGGGCTTTACAACTCACTCTTTTATCTTAATCTATGTAGAGCGATAGCCACAAGTTGAGGACGGGCGGTTTGGTGATCGTGGTTGGGAGTTGGAGCTCTGTGCTTTGGTGGTAGTTTTTATTTTCAATTGTATGTTTTGAATGGTAGTAGCCATATAGTTCTTGTCATTTTTGAAGTCATGTAAATGTTATTGGTCCTTTGAAGCCTTGGACATATTTGTAATACCTTTGAGATATATATGTATATACATATATATATATATATATATATATATATATATATATACGGTCCTAAACTTGGTTGTCCGGTTTTTGTGTTGGTAGTTGTGTGATTGGAGTTTTGTGTTTCTTTTGTGGTTTACTTTGATTCCTTCTTCTTAAAGCGTCGAGCGCACTCCCACCTGAGTGACATTCGCTACCTTTGGTCGTAGTCCCACACCCTGTTGCTCTCCGACAAGTACAAGGGGGCGGGGTCATGACACTAGTTCGGGAACTATCGGCGATGACTCTGAACTAGGAGATGAGAGGAGAGCCTCATCTTCAGGGTAAGTAAGTAACACTTTCAAAAGTGGGCATGGAGTGTTGGGGTGAATAGAGGTCAGAGGGAGAAGCTTGTTATTTCTCTCTTCTTCTTTAAACATGCCCAAGAGCAGCCTTCCTACATCCTCCACATCCTCTTGTAAGGACGCTTCCATCTTTCTTATAGATCTTTGGTCATCATCCTCAGGTTCTCGAGGTGATGTCGGATTTACAAAGTAGTACTTTGCATCGGCATAATGCGTCTCGACGATGGAAAACGATATTTTATATTAGCGAATACCACGTACTGCCTTACATCCCGGCTGTACTTAAAGCATTGATGAAGCATGGACATAACCACCCCTTGGTCATGCATCCAAGGGTGACCGAGGAGGATGTTGTAAGAGGTGTCAACGTCGATCACGTGGAATTGAGTGTAATCATTTAATTCATCAATCTTGAGATATAGGCGATCAGTGTTGGCTGATTTTTCTCCCTACTGATTGAACCACTGAACTGTGATGTTCGTCGATATGAGGTCATCAGATCTCAACCCTAGGTGGGTAAGAATTCTTCTCGGGATGAGATTAATTGCCGATCCCTCATCCAGCATAATTCGCTTGATGGGACACACATGCAACTTGTCGGTTACAAAGAGAGGCCAGTTGTGGAACTTTCCACCCAACTGAAGGTCGTCTTCTGAGAAGGTGATAGCCAAACAATTATTTAGGATTGAAGGGTCTACTTCGATGGGCTATACTTTGGTCTCATATACCTCAAGGAAGGAGAGAGCTTAGACGAGGGCCATACGGTAGTCTCTCGAGAGCATAATGGCGTCATAGCCATTGAGAAGGGTAGGGAGCTTCCTCAGGTGCCCAACCACGTCATACTTGAATTTGTCATCGTCAACCCTTTGAACTCTTAGACCCGCCATGAGTTTGGATGGTAGGGAAGGTTGTGGGGGAGGCTTAGGTGGTGGAAAGCTTTTCTGGGGTACTGATTGACGTTGTCACACAGTCGGCATGGATTGGAAAGGTTGTATGGATTGGGTAGGCAAAGGTTGCGCAACCAGATTTAGGGCCGACTGGACAGGTCATGCAGTCGAGTCTAGTGTGGATTGGTTAGATTGGGTAGTAAGCATATGTGTTGGTAGAGTGGAGGTTGATGGAGGTTGAGAGTCTTAAAATGGTTTGGTGTATGGAACCAATGGTGGTCCCTTATTTGAGCAGTGGTGGTGGATTAGTTGGCATATTTGGGTATGGGATGATTGGTGGACCAGGATACTTCAAGAGTCTTAGTTTATGCATGAGTGGCTGCAACCGCCTCCCTGACCTTAGATCGATTTGAGCAGCGTTGGTCATTGTTTCAGAGAACTGCACCATATGCCATGCTTCATGAGAGTGAAAGTTTTTCCCTCTCAACTCTTTCAGCTGATGTTTGAGCTTAATCTCAGAAGGCCACTAGGATTTCTCAGGCTTAATGTCCCTGTGTTGCTTGATATGCTCCTTGGTAATGGGAGGAAACTTTCTTGTTGGCTCTAGACGCCAAGCGTCGGTGACTGTTAGGAACCCAGCATTTTGGGCCACCATCTCTTTCAACTTTTTTCAATGCTGCCTGCTAATGTTGCAGCCTTTTAGTTCTTTGTCAAGAGCCTCGAAGTCTGGGCATTCAAAAGTCAGACTTGTGAAAGACATGTTAGAAGAAGAAGAAGAAGGGGTAGAAGGGTCAGGGATACAAGAAGAAGAAGGGAGAGAGCTTCTAGGGTCATCACTCAAGTTGGATCAAACCAGGTAGACATGAGCAAGGGATCTTTTAAGTCTTTACCTTGCTTGGACCATTGGGGGGTGCTTTTAATGTCGTCACCCTTGTCAGATGTGTGCAAGGGATTTTTAAGGTCTTTAACCTGCTTAGACCATTGAGGGGTGATTTTAGTGTTGTCACCCTTGTCGGACGTATTAGGAACCTGTGCAGAGGAATTCTTAGGAATTCCCTCTTGACCGGGCTGCGGTCTTGGACGTCGAAAGTGACTGACTCCGGGAAGAAATCCCACAATGTTGGTAATGGAGGAATGGGCTCGAGGAACTCCGCCTCAGTTGGGGGTTGAAGGGTTCTCCTCCTTCAATGAGCAACCCTTAGTACTCTTTTCTTACCCTTTTCTTGGCTGGCGTAGGCTCATGGGGATCACATTGGATCTTTCCTTGTTTGGCGAACCATCTCCTTTCTCATGGATTTCATCCTATTCCGCCCTCGATAGATTTGCCATAGTTGAGAAGTGGAGCGTTCTCCTGAACCAAAAAATCTAGGTAGCACGCCGTCACAGGAGGTTTGCGTCAGAGTTACCACTTGGGCTGGCAACGTAGAGGCTTGAGCATTATCTTCGCACTTTCTCCGTCACTAAGGCTTGGAAGGCGAAGCACATATCCAGATCATGGCCACATAGCTGATAATACGGGCACCAGATATACTTAGTCCCTCGAGCAATGCATTTGGGCCGTCTCTATAAGGACCACGATTTTCTCCCAGTCCAGTGATGCACACGACAAATGGAGGGTAAGAAAGAGGCCTAGCTCCATTTGGAGCATCGCCATGCATGTTTTAGAGGTAACATTGGCTGTGTAAGAGGAAAATGCAGAACCGGCTGTGTAAGAGGAAAACGCAGTGCCTGCTAGGTAAGAGGAAATACAGTGCCGACTGTGTAAGAGGAAAAGTAGTGCCGACTGTGTAAGGAAGATGCAATGCCGGCTGTGTTTGAGAGCCCATCGCTGTCTGTGAATTCAAGGCCTAGCGCTGGCTGTGACCCAGCGCCCTTTGTGAAATGAGAGCAAAACAGAGTAGTGCCGGGAGCGAGCGTCTTGGTCAAACATACGGCTGCTGCCCGTGTTAACACGACCCCGTACGTATCAGAGCCACATGTAATTGCGTCAGCCACAGTGAATCCCACCAACCATGGGTACTTAAGACCACCCCCTCTCCTTTTACGACGAGTTCTCCTCATCTTACCTTATACTCTCTCTCTCCCCCCCTAAGGAGCTCACTGTCGCCCCTTGAAGACAACCAACATGTGAAGGTGGAGGAAGCCAGAGAAAGTTGTTGAAGGAGATTGAAGACACTGTGAGAGTCGAGGTAAGTGGGATTAGCTTCTATGCATCCATGGTTTTGTGTACAGATTAAATATTGAAACAGATAAGATGATAGAAGGGAAAATGTGAGGTATGAATGGGTTGACATGAGATTGAAATTTCAGGTTTGTGCTTCTAAATGCCATGACTGACTTAACTATACAAATGATCTTTTATTCATGGAAACTCATACAATCGCTCATGGTGAGGCTTGCTAACATGGACAAGGTTCCATGCTCAAAGTGTACCTTGGCCATGAAATATTATGTGTTCTTTAAAAGGATGGTAATTTGAGAATAAGAATTTCCAAAACTGTGACTGTCTTTGCATCGAAGTGTTTAATGGTGAAATTGCATCCAAATGATACCAAATTGGTCTCAAATGAAAGGCATGTATGTCTACTTTAAGTCTAAAATTTCGCATGCATGAAAAGATATGGCCTAAAATGTCAAGGCATGACATTGCTCACAGTCGCTGCTAATTCCAGCAACTGTGGCCCTCTTTGGGCAATGCTTTTGACCCAGAAAACCGTGTCCAAAAACCTTAAAATTATACCATTGGAAAGGTCTATGAATGTACTCAAAGTTGCATGTTTTGAAATTCCCCATGGATTTTGAGTTATACCCCAAAGAATGCGAACATGTCGCTGCGCATTGTCACAGGGAAAATTTCCAGCAACTAATGCTCGCCTCATCCTGATCTATTGAGCCGTCAAATGGCACCCAAATTCTTTCAAATCACTATTTTTGTAAATATCTTTATATTAGCTCAAAGTTTCATGTTTGAGAAAATCTAGAACTCCCACTAAATCGGGAGCTACGCCCTCGCAAAGAGGGGCATATCACTGTTACTTATCACTGCATCAATTTTATGACCATGCGGCGCTAGGTTATCTTGATATATGAACAATGTGAATGTCGTATGATAAATTTCATGCATATGCCATAAAGATATGTGAATGATGTCACATGACTGCATTGTGTGAGAAAAAGCGGTCACGAGCGCAATAGTGATGAACTGAATTCGTAATGAGTGCCAAATGCTACTGTGAAGACTTATGCCCTTTGAAAGCTTATGAAATGAATGTCTTTTGCTAAGTATTATGATGTTATGATGAAATATGATTCATTTTCTATCAGGCATTGAATTGGCCACTATGCGGTGGGACACTCACCGGTAGTGGATATTGTTATGATACTGCGATAAATGGCCACTGCTTATATGGATATTGGCCACTACGCGGTGGGACACTCACCTGTAGTGGACATTGTTATGACATTATGACAAATGGCCACTTCTTATATTGATATTGTCCATTACACGGTGGGACACTCACCGGTAGTGGCTACTGCATGATATTGCCTGCTAAACGATGGGACACTCATTGGTAGTAAGAAAAGTGATGAGTCCACTCCTACCTGAGTGACAAACGTTACATTGAATCACGAACCTGCACTCGATCGCCCGTTTCCGTGTAAGATACACTGGTTGGGGGAAGGGTTATGGCAGTCTCGATGGCCTCGGTGCGATGACCCCTACTTGAATCCTTATACAGAACATTGCCTGAAGAAGGTCTGGTGGTAGTTC